GGGGGAGTCCACAAAAGCGTGCTTGGATTGCAAATAGAGAGTTTGTTAGGGGTGGGGGTTTGTGAATACCGAATTTTTCAGGTATGAAAAGGAAAGTTTGGATTAAATATTTTGTTTTGTTGTGTGTTTCTTTATGTAGATAAATTTTAGGCCACATATTCATACACATGTTTTGTAGTTTACCCTAAGTTATATATAAAGCTGTAATATTCTCTTTCACTTTTTACCTTTTTCTTTACATATTATTACCAATTTACCATTTTAAATCTTAATTTTCGTCATCTTTAACGTAAAGGGAATATTAATTTTAAACGCTAAATTACACGTTTGGGTCTATTTTTAAAAATTGTGTAAGAATTCAGATAAATAGAGAAAATGTGAAATTCAAATTTTTGCGAATATTTTTTAAATATTAAAAATATATTTTTTAAAAAAATTTTGGAACAAAAAAAATCGATCACTGATCCAATTTGAATACCTTCACAGTAAGCCATCGAAAGAGAGTACTTGGGTTCTCCCAATAACTAAAAAGTGTATCATGCTTGAATCTAACTGGGGTTCGCGGTGGTGGAGGAACTGGATCGGAAAAAAGAGGGATTTTAGTTGTGTAAGATATCTAATGAAATCGTCGCTGGAATTGAGATCTCATTTAAAGAGAAACATATCAAATATTTTGGGAATTGTTTGATCGTCTTTCTTCGAGGAAGAGGTAAAAGATAATCAACTTGAATTCGAAACAGTTGTACGAATTCTTATTGAAAGACTGGATTTGTTATCTCATGTTTGCTTTTAGTGAAAAAATACCAATTGAAGTGGAGGGCTTTTTCAAACAACAGGGACTAGGTCAACTATTCAATAAAATGATACTAAGAATGTTTCACATCTCTTCTTAAGAAACAAGTACGCTATTTCTTTGTAAAATTGTGCTCAATTTCTTACGTGGCAATTTCGCCAAGATCTCTACCTTATTTGGGGAGAAGAATCCGTTCGAATCTCTTCCTTATCTGGGGGAAGAATCCGTTCGAATCTCTTCCTTATCTGGGGGAAGAATCCGTTCGAATCTCTTCCTTATCTGGGGGAAGAATCCGTTCGAATCTCTTCCTTATTTGGGGGAAGAATCCGTTCGAATCTCTTCCTTATTTGGGGGAAGAATCCGTTCGAATCTCTTCCTTATTTGGGGGAAGAATCTGAGGAAGAATCTGAGGAACATATCGAGAGAGAATTGGATTTGGTTAGACAATATATGGTTGGTATACAAGAATTGGTTTTATAGCAAGGTACGAAATGTCCTGTCAAATATTCAATATGATTCCACAAGATCTAGTTTCGTTAGATTTGAAATATCACACATTGATCAATCAAAAAGAGATTCAATAACTAAAAGAAAATAGATTCTTTGAGATCCTTCCTGAATTCAGTAATTTCTCATATAAAATTATTGACTTTAAAGATATAGTAATATGGAGAAAATTAAATTGTTTCAAGCACCAGAATCGGGTTATTTTTTATGGTTGGTTAGAGGCAAATTGAAAGCTAAGCGAAATTATAAAGATTTCCGAAGGAAAAAATAGAGATATCTCCTACGTTACCCGAAATATGTTAAAACTTTCATAGTCATTCGATCTAAATGCAACATGAAGAACATAAACCAGGTAAAGGAACAGAAAGACCTAGGATGTAGAAAATCATAACACGAGTGATTCGGCAAATTTGAATTCCTATATAACCACGAGAATAAGATATACACGAAGAACGCAAGTAGGAATTATATTAACCATAAACTAAAATTCGTGATTCTACTATAAATTTTAATGATAAACTACGATAACAATTCACCAATAAAAGAACTTATTACTTAATTATTGTTTATACGATTTTTTAAATTTAGATACAAACAATATTTTTAAATGATTATAATTTGTATCTATTTAGTTTTTGAATTTATAAATTTAATCGCTAAACTATCAAATTTATAAGAATTCACAGATATACACAAGAAAGATAGAAAGTTCAAGGACATGTTCATATCAATTTCACCATTTTCTTTGGTAGTGGTTTCTCTTGATGCAATTTTCCCTAATATATTTAAACCTAATTTTAAAAAAATGGTGAGAAATGTTAATTTGAGACGAAATGATGCGATGTTTACTCGTCTCCTACATCGCGATCGGGGCAATTTCTGCACCGTCGTCACAAAAACAGAGAGATCGAACATAAATTCGTCACAAAAACATCTTCAGATTTACATTAAAAACTCAAAAATCTCGCCAGTAACGGCCTCACAATCACATCACCAAACAACAAACCGATCGATAAGCAAGAAAATAGTGGATTCCGATAGAATCACCTCTTTCCGATCATCGATTGCTCTGATCTGTTTCGTAGCCTCCTCGATCGATTTCTCCCGGCGATCTGTCGTTGATTCGTCTCTGAGCTTCGGGAAGAACCGTGTAGAAGAGCCTGCGAATCGATCGCGGAACTTGGCGAGCTCGCTTATACACATATCTATGGTAGGCGAAATCTTCATATAGAGAGTGATTTGTGAAGAGAAGAAGAGGAGATTAGGTTTGGGGAATGAATGTGAGAGAGGAATCGGTTTAGGGTTTATAAGGAGAGCGATGAGATGGCGATTTGGGGAAGTTTGAAGTCTGTGTGTGTATGTGTGAGAGGGCGGGAAGAGACGAGAGGCGCACGCAGTTCTGTTTGGGCACACGGTTTGCGCCCATTATGGTTGGCCCAATGGATATTCTTAATATCCATTTTTCATTTGGAAATGGTTTCTTTTTCAAAACACTTACTTCAATTTATTGCTTTCCAAATGAAGAATTCAAACAATTGAAAATGTGGGCGTTTCGCAATCGTGTCGGTATATTACGGTGGGATAATTTCGTGAGCGATCTCTTTGACCAGGTATTAGTTGTCGTGTGGTTTGACTTTTAGTGCCCTAGATGTCTCGTGGTTCCTTATTATAATTGTCTTTGGTTTGGTGGTAATATTCTCGATCATTTTATGATAGCTTGATTTGTTGTGTGTGATTGCTGGCTCGTGATTGGATTATTCGATGGCATTTTGTTGTTCTTAATGCTTGTGTTCTTTGTAATAGTGGGGTTGGGTCACTAGGATATCTGGGGACGTGCTCTTATGGGGTGGCTCTTTGTAAGAGCTTAAGCCCATCGTTAGTAGATATTGTCTTCCTTGAGCTTTCCCTTTTGGGAATCCCTGTTTATTAGGGAGAGGTTTCCACGCTCTTATAAGGAATGTTTCGTTTCCTTCTCCAACCAATTGGGATCTCACAATCCATCCCCTTGGAGGCCAGAGTCTTCGCTGACACACCGTTTGGTGCTTGACCTTGATACACTAGGATATCTGGGGACGTGCTCTAATGGGGTGGCTCTTCGTAAGAGCTTAAGCCCATCATTAGTAGATATTGTCTTCCTTAGACTTTCCCTTTTGGGAATCCCTGTCTATTAGGGAAAAGTTTCCATGCTCTTATAAGAAATGCTTCGTTTCCTTCTCCAACTGATATGAGATCTCACAATCCACCCCCTTGGAGGTCAGAGTCTTCATTGGCACACCGTTTGGTGCTTGACCCTGATATAATTTGTAAGAGCCCAAGCCCATCACGAGCTGATATTGTCTTCTTTGGACTTTCCCTTGTGTGCTTCCCTTCAACGCTTTAAAACGTGTTACTTATGAGAGGTTTTCACACCTTTATAAAGAATGTATCGTTCATCTGTATGAGAGATATCGAACTCCTTCCAGAATAATTATAACATTTAATTAAACTAATTAAATTTTATAATTTTTTTAATTAGAAAAAAAAAAAGAATAAACTTAACGCGGGTTACGATTACAGCCTAAATTGGACGCGGTCTTCCGATATTCAGAGTCCAAACAAACCCAAAGCCCTCGCCCTTCCTCAATCCTCTTCGTCTTCCTCCGAACTCGGCGGTTGAAGACTCGCCGTCGCCCTCAAATCGGCCGAATCCGCCGGAGCAACGATGTCGTACGACGACGTGGAGATTGAAGACATGGAGTGGAATGAGGAACTGCAGGCCTTCACGTACCCATGCCCTTGCGGCGACTTGTTCCAGATTACGAAGGAGGATCTTAAGCTCGGTGAAGAGATTGCTCGGTGCCCTAGCTGTTCTCTTTACATCACAGTTATCTACAACATGGAAGATTTTCTTGGAGACTCTGATCAGAAGAATAACAAAGGACTTGAGCCCTCCAAACAACAGCCTATCGTTGTCGCTTGAGAATTCAGGTAATTAACCGATTGAAACTTCAGACTTGTTTATTGTCGCCGGTATGTTTTGATGCAATCGTTTTAGGTTACCTTGTTTATACGTTTATATTCTGATATGCCTTTTGAATTTTAGGATATGATGCTTCCTCTCCAGCCTTTTGGAGGATGATTTCATTTGTTTAGTTATATAGCGTGAGAAAATTTCTAATTGCTTTGTCTCCTTTTCCCTGCGGTAAAATTGTTCAGAGATAAATTTGTGAAAATGAATACTTCTTCTGAAAGCATTATGCTATTGTGTTTGTGTTTCGCTCGTCTAGTCTTAAAGATTAACCATGTAAGGACATCATTTTGGTCATTTTTGGTACACTGTATTGAAGGCCTCATCATTTTCTCGATTTAACTTCTCTAACTAGAAGGTAGAAAGATGGAGGAAGTAGCTCTGGATGAATCTAAAACGCACACAATAAGATATCTTATCCCAGAAGCTCAGTAATTAGTTTGTAACCAAATGTGATCAGAGTAGACGTCGATTTCGGGATTGAGAAAAGAGAATATGTTTTGCTACTCCCCTAGGAGGACGATTTCAATTGGCTAGTTATATGGCTTAGTTCAATAGCTATGATCAGTTCATTACTCCGGAGAGACCTTAGCTTCAGTGGACAACCTGCGACTATGTTCTTTGTGTTGTGTTCTGTTGTGTTGTCTGCCGTATCAATTTTCTGAAGTCATGATCATATATGGAAAGTGTAGCGCTATCACTACAACCTGCCCTTTGTACACACTGCCTGGAATCGTTAAAATTGGGAAGCTCTGGCAGTTCTTCGAATGTTTTTCCTTTTAGTAATTTGAATTTATTACCTCTGTTTTCTGGGTTGTTTCACATGACCCTTCTTTTTACTTATCAAATGGAGCAATGTTTAGAGATGATTTCCTGAAAATGTATATTTTCCTAAGAGTTATACTTAATTGTGCGTGTTTTTGTTCGTCAACCGGTGACCATCTAAGGAAGTCTTTTTGGTCATTGTTCATATACCGTTTCTTATGCTTGTTTCCTAAGCAAAAAGATATATTGTATTTATAGGTTTGTCTTTTTTCACTCAACTTCTCCGACTTCAAGATCGAAAAATGGAGGAAGTAGCTCTGTTTCAATCTAGACCACTTTTAAGAATATATCTAGTCCTCTGGGTCTTTTGTGTTTGTGTTTAGTTTGTGACCATAAATATGTCATCAGTACAAGTCTCTAATTTTGTAGCAGAGAGATGCTCTAAAATCCATCAATTCATAGTTGGAATGGTCTTCTAATGTCTTTAGTTTCTTCTTCAACACAGAAATTATATTCTCTTAGCTTTATATGGATGCTACTTTTTGCAGAGTACTCGAATGTGAATCACGGTGTAACCACGACAGCTACACTTGTTGCAGATGAAATTTTGTCATCCATTGTTAATTCGGAGACGTTCGTCGCCATTATAGTTTCTTCTTTTTCTGTTGTTTTCTTCCCCACCCCTCGGAATCGATCTAGCAAACAGAGGAAAGTAGAGCTGCAGGCGAAAAAACGCATCAAAGTACTATTTTTGTTCCTTGAAAAAGTAATTTATAGATTCTTGATCTGTGCACAATCTAATGTTAATGAGTGGTGATTTCCTTGGTCGAACTTTCAGACATAGAATGGATGAAAAGCTGTAATGATCTAAATCTTTTGCTGTTCCTCATTTTTAGTTCTTCTACTTTGTGTATGGAAATTTCAGGACAATGACTTGTTTATTAGATTGAATTATGGATTGATCAAAGTGTATGAAGTCATCATCAAGAACATTCAGAGAATTCTGAGGAGGATAATGGGAGAGACAACAAAAACCCCTTCTTGGATAGGTTTCTCTTTCAAGGTGTATGCATTTACTTTCCTTCCTGAAGATTGAAGAACAGTATTATGAATGCTGCAAAAACAGAATGATTTTGAGCTGAAAAACAGCCTTTTCTTTCAACTCTTGAAGAATATGTTTTTCTTTAATTTTTTTTTTTTAAAATTATGTGATAATAAATTTGAATTTCTATCTGTAGTTCTTGATTGCTTAGATACTCGTAAGCGAGACTTATTTAGGTTGTATTATAAATACTCTAACTAAACCTATTGATGGCCGAGGTGAATTTCAGCTTCTGCCTCTTGGTTAATTAAATCCACCAAGTTCTGGACCTCTTCAAATAGGATTTATTGTTATTGATTATATAATGAGCCTTTTCAAATAAGACTTAATGTTATTGATTCTATGATTCCTAATAGGCTTATGATAAAATTGGATACGATGTCTCTACTTGATCATTTAAGAAACATTAATATCAAAATATATATTTTCTCGAATATCATCTGTCAAATTGAAATATGATAAAATATATTTATTCTTTTGGAACGAACTAAATAAAATGATTACTCTATTTTTTTAAAAAAAAATTAATTTTTATATTTTTATAGTGCACTAAATATATTTTTTTTTTTTAAATTGAGTATCTTATGAGTTTTTATATTTTTTTTAGTGGGCTAAATAAATAAGATTACCCTATTCTTTTTTAAAAAAATATATTTTTTGAAAATATTGAACAAACCTATAAATATTTACTATAAATACACTATTTCTGGAAAGAAAGCTTCCATAGCCATATCTCGTTGTCTTCGTCGAGAAAACGAGCAGGAAAGCTTCCACCTTATTCCAGTTTGTTCCTCTCAGTCTCAGCCAATAAACTACTGAAGAAGACGCTCTTAGCTCAGGTAAATTTCTCTCCATTTTCCTTCGACTATGAATCGTTACAAAATTCTGAAGCTTTCTTCGTTGAATTTCCAAGCAACCACTAATTCCCAATCCTTCGCACTTTTCTCTTCGATTTCTCCCCATAAAACACCACCAGATTCTCAATTTCCATCTCCCAATTCAACCACAAAAGCCAATTCGACTCTAACCCAGAATTCTCTCGAGAAATTCGCCCGGTCCTCTCAGTGGCATTTCATCAAACAGGTTGAATCCACTCTGACTCCGTCGCTTATTTCCGAAACCCTTCAAAATCTTCACGATTCTCCACAAATTGTTCTCGAATTGTTAAACCATTTACAACATGGATTACTTGATTCTCAAACCCATTGCCTTGCCATTGTCATTGTTGCTCGTCTTCCATCTCCCAAACCCACTTTACAGCTTCTAAAACAAGCTGTTGGGTGTGGCACTAATTCAGTTAAGGAGATTTTTGAATTGTTAGCGGCTTCTCGTGATCGATTGGGTGTTAAAAGCAGTATTGTTTTTGATTACTTGATTAAGTCCTGTTGCGAATTGAATAGGGCAGATGAAGCTTTTGAGTGTTTTTACATGATGAAGGAAAATGGTGTTGCACCCAAGATTGAGACCTGCAATGATTTGCTGAGTTTGTTTCTTAGGTTGAATAGAACTGAAACAGCTTGGGTTTTGTATGCTGAGATGTTTAGATTGAGGATAAAATCTAGCGTTTATACATTTAACATAATGATCAATGTTCTATGCAAGGAGGGGAAGTTGAAGAAGGCTAAGGATTTTATTGAGCATATGGAATGCTTAGGGGTTAAACCGAATGTTGTTACGTATAATACAATTGTTCATGGATATTGTTCGAGAGGGAGAGTTGAAGGGGCTGATGCTATTTTGAGTATTATGAAAAGGAAAAATATTCGACCTGATTCTTACACATATGGATCTCTAATCAGCGGGATGTGCAAGCAAGGACGACTTGAAGAAGCGTCGAAGATTTTTGAAGAAATGGTACAAAATGGGTTACTTCCTAGTGCTGTAACTTATAATACTTTGATTGATGGATTTTGCAATAAGGGTAATTTGGATATGGCCTTTGGTTATAAGGATGAAATGATGAAGAAGGGCATAATGCCGACTGTATCAACGTATAACTTGTTGATTCATGCATTGTTTATGGAGCAAAAATATGATGAAGCTGAAGGTATGATCAAGGAAATTCACGAGAAAGGTATTGCTCCCGATGCTATTACGTATAATATCTTGATCAATGGGTATTGTAGATGTGGAAATGCAAAGAAAGCATTTCGTCTGCACGACGAAATGTTGGCGAGTGGCATTCGGCCAACGAAAGTGACATACACATCACTAATTCATGTTTTGAGCAAAAAGAATAGAATGAAGGAGGCAGATGATTTGTTTAAAAAGATCACAAGTAAAGGTATGTTGCCCGATGTCATAATGTTTAATGCTTTGATAGATGGTCATTGCTCGAACGGTAATGTGGAGCGTGCATTTGAGCTTCTGAAAGATATGGATAGGACGAAGGTTCGTCCCGATGAAGTGACTTTCAATACAATAATGCAAGGACGTTGTAGGGAAGGAAAAGTCGAAGAAGCCCGTGAACTTTTCGATGAGATGAAGAGAAGAGGAATTAAGCCCGACCATGTTAGCTTCAATACACTGATAAGTGGTTATAGTCGACGAGGCGACGTAAAGGATGCTTTCAGGGTACGGGATGAGATGCTCGATAAAGGATTCAATCCTACTCTTCTAACTTATAACGCCCTTATACAAGGGTTATTTAAGAACCAAGAAGGTCATCATGCTGAAGAGCTTCTCAAAGAAATGGTAAGTAAAGGTATAACACCTGATGATAGCACTTATTTCTCATTGATTGAAGGTATTACTAAAGTTAATAGTCCTGTTGAAACTTAGAACACATAAGAGTATTTATTTGGTAGAGATTTTCATAGATCACCTGCATGTAAACCTTCATGTTTAGAATGTTGTTTTGAGTTATATATTGCAAGAGTCTCTGACATACTTAGCTGAGACATAGATATCAGTTGATTGTAAAACTGAAGAATCTGTTCATTATTAGTAGCCAAAAGAGTTGCTCTCATTTACTGAAGTTTCTGCTCATGCCCTCTTGAACAAGATGAAATTCCTATATGTTTCACATAGTATTGTCCCCTTGAACAACTTGGTGTACAAGGACAAGTTTCTCGAGCTTCTATGGATTTCGAAGCACTATAAGATACGATGTTCAAATGGTAAAAAGACGAGCCTTGAAGTAGAATCAATGTGAGATTCTATATTGGTTGGAGAGAGGAACGAAACATTCCTTATAAGGGTGTAGAAACCTCTCCCTAGCTAGCCGACATGTTTTAAAACCTTGAGGGGAAGCCTAGAAGGGAAAACTCAAAGAGGATAATATCTGCTAGCAGTGAACTTGGCTGTTACAAATGGTAGTGCCAGTGAGGACGCTGGACCCCTAAGGGGGGTGGATTGTGAGATCCCCACATTGGTTGGAGAGAGGAATGAAACATTTCTTATAAGGGTGTAGAAACCTCTCGAACCTTGAGGAGAAGCCAAGAAGGAAAAGCCCAAAGGACAATATCTGCTAGCGGTGGACTTGGGCGGTTACAATTAGACATTCAATGTCAGTTGTTCCTTTGATACCTCTCATCCTCAGCTAAGGCTAAAACCTCGAGCAGAATCCAAAGGGAAACTATCTACCCTTATCTCTTTCCCATCGACGGTGCAGTCTCTACTATAATTCAAAGACGAGACCGTCAGTCTTTCTTCCCCTATAGTTATCAAAAGTTAGAGACATGGATCATTACAATTGTGGCTCATCTTGGTTCGAGTGAGCAGGACGTCTCATCTTTTACTATATCATCGGTCGAATTAGAACAATAAAGGAAGGGATGAGATAAGATTACGAAAGGCTTTATTACAGATTCGAAATGGGCATTCAATGGTGGGTCATTCTAGGCCGATCCTTTCACGGTTTTTCCTGTTAGTCTGAAACAAAAGTTTTCCCCCACTTGGCCTTTTGATGTCTACTTTCTTTATATATAGAGCCAATAAGCATCTAGGAAGGCATGCACTAAATCTTTACCATTTATACAATCTGCTTCGTTTATTGCTTGCTTTCGCTACCACTATTTTCATTGGTTTGCCCACTAAACTCGCAACTTTTGAGTACTCTAATGCTTAAAATGTGAGCCACATCAATCATGTAAGTACTTTTAAATATGATTCTTATTTACATTTCTAAGCTTTCGTTGAACGTGGACTAATGGGTGCTACCCATTATGTCTCACTTAATTTTTAACTTTTTTCCTTCTTTGGTGGTTTCTGGAGCTTTTATTGTAACTCCATTTATAACCATTTAGGCTCGTTTTGGACGGATGACATATGTCCATCTAATACTACGAGTTCACATTCTTCTTCTTTTTCTTATTGTTTGGATATTTGTGAGCGTTTGGATTAGGTTTGTGAGATCCCACATTGGTTGGAGAGGAGAACGAAGCATTCGTTATAAGGGTGTGGAAACCTCTCTTTAGTAGATACGTTTTAAAATCGTGAGGCTGATGGTAATGAGTAACGAGCTAAATTGAACAATATTTGCTAGTGATGGGCTTAGGCTTAGGCTGTTACAAATGGTATCAGAGCTAGTGTGCCAGCGAAGATGTTGGGCCCTCAAGGAGGTGGATTGTGAGATCCCATATCGGTTGGAGAGGAGAGCGAAACATTCCTTATAAGGGTGTGGAAACCTCTCCCTAGCATACGTGTTTTAAAACCGTGAGGTTGACGACGATACGTAACGGGATAAAGCGGACAATATCGGTTAGCAGTGGGCTTGAGCTATTACAAGCTTGCACGTATTTGAAGTAATCTCTCAAGACCATCATCTGACCTTGTTACATTTTATTGTCAAAAACTCGTGGAATACTAAATATAGGTAGGTGGTCGCTTGGGAACGAACCCGGGTTTTAACCCAAGGTAAGATTAACCATTGTTTTAGTTCATTTTCTACATTTTGCATCTAAGAATTGAACTGATCCATCACCCATCCAATTTTTGAAGCTCCTTTATCAACTTTTGGCAATAACTTTTGTAGTGGAAGCACATACATTATGCACCAAGCACTTGCGTGAATGACCATCATGCATTATTAGGTTGTATCTATAAGATTGCTCTGGCTTTTCGATGAATTTGGCTATAGATTTTGAAAACAGAGGTTTCAATGGGGCAATTTGTACCTCATATAGCTTCTGGTTTTGTATTCACTCTTCTTGGCCTTTGGCATACTCTGAATACAATCAAAGCCTACAATCTTGGATGCGGTTCGAACTTTAAAGTAAGATTTTGGTACCCTCTCGATCGGCCCCATTCCAATCTCAAGTACTTAGAGCTCATTCTCGTGTTCTCTTTTTCGGTCATTGGAATTTTCGGACAATTTTGGGACTACCCTTTCATTCATTTGTCTTTCAATGTCATCAACTTGGAGCATGCAACGATGTTCCTGCACCTTGCCGTATTTTCGGGGTTTGCCCTCTACAATGAGCTGAATCATTCGTCGAACTTATTGTCTGGGGTCGAGGGTGTCTTTGCAGCATGTGTGTTCAGTCAAGAACTGTTCTTGTCTGGGGTCGAGGGTGTCTTTGCAGCATGTGTGTTCAGTCAAGAACTGTTCTTGCTCCATTTCCACTCGGCTGATCACAATGGCATTGAAGGCCATTACCATTGGCTCTTGCAGCTCATTGTGTTTGCATCGCTCGTGTCGGTAATAGTAGCTGCTTGTTGTCCTACCTGCTTTCCAGCAGCCATTGTTCTTTCGTTATTGGTTGTTTTGCAAGGGTGTTGGTTCATGAACATGGGGTTCATGCTATGGGTTCCAAACTTGGTTCCTAAGGGCTGCAGCATGAGGATCGTGGAGAACGGTAAAGACGAAATGCTCGGAGCAGTGATTTGTGCCTCCAAGGAAGCTGATATGAGGGCACGAGCGCTCGCTAACCTGCAATTCAGTTGGATACTAGCAGGGATTCTCATATTTACTGGATTTATAAGCCTCAAATGTACAAAATCTGATACTTGCACCCCAAAGATCCAGCTATCGGACTACGAGCAGCTTTGAGAAGCGTGAAAGATGTCGAGAATGGTCATGAATGAGGTGAATCAATTGGTCAAAACGGTCGAGACAATATCCTATAAAGACTAAAAAGGCTGTGATATCGCCGATGTTAAAACCAAGAATCAGAATAAATACATCTAGAACTTTATTGTATGTTTTGCAGACTGAAACTTGCTACTGAAGCTGATTTCCGGGATGAACCCGATTCAGTAAGAATCACACATGAAGAACTGATCCAATCCTGCAGATGCGAGCGTTATCGAAACCCGATTCCGAAGAAAAAATCCTTCCCTTTAAGGCCCTACTTTTCATCTCTTTTACTGTTCGATATTCTAGCATTTATGGTATGAAAGAACTTTTTTTTACTGATTCTCTGCATGATTCCTACAAAGAACACACCGCTGCTGATACGACACAACACGAAGAACGTATTTGAACACGGTTCATAGTGTTGACTCTCCCATGTAAATGGATTTTAACCTCCTAGATGAAAGAAGAGGTGATTTGGGGTGGGAGACGGACAAAGAACATACAAAAGAAAGAACGTGAAGAAAACCCTCTAGAGGGATCGTGGGTCGCAACCATTTTGCTAGAAGAGCTTCATTACGTAAATTGAAGCTCCCTATGGCTAGGCCACCCAACTCGACTAGCTTAACTACTACCTCCCACGTAACATGATAAGGAATCACTATAAGGAAATTAAGATTCGGATTACCTTGTTGATCGAATATTTCAAGGCAAGAATATTTGGTTGAGACTCAATCACTCCACAAGCAAGCTCGATCAACTCAAGCTTGAATGATTCTAGACATGCAATCTAAACTATATAGAATTGCAAAGAAACTTAGACCTTTGCTAAGGAAAGGTAAGAACATTTAACCCTAATGATAAGAAATCACTCGAAGGGAAAGCAAAATTTAGATCACCTTATCGATCAAATATCTCAAGACAAGAATATTTGGTTGAGACTCCAATCCTTCGACAAGCAAGCTCGATCATGTCAAGTTTGAATGATTCTAAATACTACGTAGAATTGCAAAGAAACTTAGTCTTTAGCTAATGACAGGTAAGAACACTCAGCCCTGATGATAAGAAATCACTCCGAAAGTAAAATCCAGATCACTTTATTGATCAAATATCTCAAGACAAGAACATTTGGTTGAGACTCGGATCCCTCCACAAGCAAGTTCGATCATGTCAAGCTTGAATGATTCTAAACATGCAACCTAAATTACATAGAATCGCAAAGAAACTTAGTCTTTAGCTAACAAAAGGTAAGAACACTCAACCCTGATGATAAAAAATCACTCCAAGGGAAAGTAAAATCCAGATCACCTTGTTGATCAAATATCTTAAGGGAAGAACACTTGTTTGAGACTCGAATCACTCCACAAGGTCAATCATATCGAGCTTGAATGGTTTTAAACATGCAATCTAATCTACCATGCCCTAAAACTAGTTGATCTTACAAGAATTTAGAAGAATATGCATTTTCGTGTTGCAGAACAATCAAAGCAGATGAACAACATACTACATTGCCATTCTTTTGAAAGCAGAAAGCAAGGGAGAAAGTGTAAGAGGCCAAATGAATGTTGTCAATAGTTTTGACTGATAGAAACAATTGAGTTATAAGTAGTAAAAGTAACAGATTAACTTACAGATTCCGATGATTCAACAATATCACCATTAACATTATAGCACCTTCTCACTCACTCAGCCTCCTCCACAGATGCCTCAATCCTGAGAAGAACAAACCCCACCGCCACTCCAACAAGAACAAGCCCATTGATAATGGCGGCGATCCTGAAAATCTCACCGGCGGCATTACAGGTAGAAGAGAGAGCCCCACCACCGTTTTTGCCTTTTCCCTTTGATGGGTATTTCAAAGAACTCACAATGCTAGCAAATGACTGATCGGCACAAACGGGAAGGCCCAAGGAGGTGATATTGTTGTGAGCTTTCAAGCCACTAAAGGAGTTGAGGCCAGTGATGTAATGGACATTGGTGTTCCTCTGCCGCCTAGAGCCGGCGGCGATGGGGGCGGCGGTGGATATGGGCGGCGAGAGGGTAGCGGAGGGTGTAGCCGCCATTGATTGATGCCTGAAAGAAGAGGAAGAGTGAAATTAAGTGAAAACCCAGATGGGAAAAAGGGATTTGGGGAAAGAACAGAAGGGATCGAAAGCTGTGTGGAAGAGAAATTGGGGGAATTTGGGTGAGAGATATTGAAGAAGAAGAAGAAGATGATGAGAGAGATATGGATAAGGTAAGAGGCGTATGAGTGGTTCATAAACAGATTAGAAATGCCAATGATTTTTGAAACCTTTGAATATTAGCCAACGAAAAGGCTTCATTTCTTCAATCTTGTATGATATTACATTAGTGTAGGGGATACTATAAACATAAGCTTTAATTTGTTTGATCCGAAAGCGTCTAATTTCCATCGATATTTTCATCCCATACGTTCATTGACCTGGATCGAATCGATATTTTCATATTTTTATAAAATTGAGACCTCGACATTTGAAACTCGGATATCATTAGGTCAATCTAATTTCAATGGATGAATTTTGAACTATATTTAAAATATTTTCTATTTCAAAGGAAAAAAAAAAGTTAAGAACATTTTTATTAACCATATGAATTTGTTTAAAATAGTTACTTTTCGTTTTAATTAAATTTAGAAACGTTATTTTATCTTCACTAAATTTTTAAAGCTAAGAAAATATAAGAATTCAAATATTTATCTAATAAAGATGAAAAATATAGTATAAAACTAGGAAGAAATCAACCTAAATTTCATAAAATAAAAATAAAAATTGTTAATGGAAAATTCTGTTTCTAACCGAAATTTTAGAATAAAAAAGTATAGAACATCTTTGTCCGGTCTGAAAATGTGGCCGCTGTTGGACAAACACGACTCTCCACAATGGTATGATATTATCCACTTTGAGCATAAGCTCTCATGTCTTTGCTTTGAACTTCTCCATCAATGAAGGAAATATTTTTTATTATAAACTCAGGATCATTCCCTAAATTGGCAGACGTGGGACTTTCATCTTCCAACAACCACTACCAGTTTAATCTCGTCAAAGATAATATTGTAACTTTTGAAAGACTAACGATAACTTTTTACTATATAGTTTGGCTACACAGAGAAAAAAAAACCCTAAAAATTCAAATCTCATAGAAATGAATATAAACAAATGGAATGGAATAATGTAATCTTCAATATCAATCACTTATAAAAAAAGCAAGAGGAAAGGATCATAAATTACCATAAAAAAAAAAAAAACAAAAAACAAAAAAACAAAAAAATTGTTCACCACCTGCTGTACCACTAATTCTATAGACATCCTAAAACTAAAATACTATACAAAGTTTAAGACAAAAAAAGGACAAGCAGAACCCTTTCTATTCACAAAGGAATTTCCAGCAATCCACAAAACTCCTTGATTGTGTTCATCACTTAAAAGACTTCTATCAACCATCAAAACTGAGGGAACCTGAATGCTAAATTAAGAAAAACAAAACCTGAGATTCTGGGCTGGGGATTGGAGGAAGAAGAAGCAGTCACAACCTGGATTAGAGGTTGCAGAGTACTCTGTTTGCTCGCTAAACTGGTTCCGAGACGTGTGGCGGCTTATCGTGAATCTCCATTACTAAATCCCGTAGCTCAGGGAAAACTGATACGAGTAATAGTTCGAGTAATCCATACCCAAGTTGCTTTACACAGATGGTAGACTGCAGATTCACAAAATTTTACTCAGTTTGTCAATTGAAAGATAAGTGTAAAGATATTGATGCTAACCCACCTGAGTGAAGTAATAGATATCTTTTGCGCATCTTTTGTATTGCGTGTGCCCTATCAAGCTTACCAATGGTGTTGGAGCCCCATCTAAAAAGATAGTAATGGTAGTTAGATTGTCAATTTTCTTGCTTCTCGTTTGTAAAGAGCAAGTGAGACAAACTCGATTTAGACGATTCTAAATTCATGAATATGATAAAAACAAACAACAGCAAGATTATGATATTTTACGAGCGAAATGTTAATAAGATCATTTAATCTGGAACAAGAATATTAACGAAGTATGCATGTCCATAAAATGCAAGGGGCACCATCGAAAAATCCGAGCAAACAATGAGGTTAAATATTCGAAGAAGAAGAGCACGAGAAGCAAGAAAATACGAGGCACCTTTATGAATAGTTTAGAACGTATAGAAAAGAATAATCCAACATTTCAATGTAAACACTTCAGATGCACGCTTTTTTTCATGTTACAGAAAGAAAGCATTACTCACCAAAAAGCATTTTCTTGACATCACTAGCTCGGCGAGCAGCCTCAAGCTGCAGCTCGAAAGATCCAGGCTTAGGGATCTTACTTCCATCAGTTTGGCTAGAAGTAGATTGAGAATCATCGCCTTCACTATGAGCATTCCTCAAATGTATGAAGAATATTCCATTGGGCCATAGAACCTGAAAGAGCAATGGTAGAATGAATTTTCTTTCCCTTATTATATCATTTGTTCTTTATAGGGTAAAATAACATTTTCATTGGTTAAATGAAAAATTAGGATGATTATTGTTACCGCTATAATTTCTCACAGTATCACTTCTGATAAAAAAAATCAGATGTATGTCCAATCATTTAAAAAAAAGAAAAGACACTCAGGATAGAATGAAATATGAGAAATGAAAATGATGATAATCAAGCCAATGCAAAGTATTCTAACTTAATTGTTCTGCATAAGAACATTAAAGGCATGCGTATCTGTGAGCTTTTAACATGATTGAGAGAATTTTGTTTCTTGTCTCTATGTATGAATTAACTTGAAACAAAAACAATCAGAAGGGTTTATCTAACGTATTTATTTTCATGGTCTTATAAAAATACCCCACCAAAATTTCTTGCACTATGGTAGCATAGCTTTGTCTGCAACAGTTACTAATAATTCTTTAGCGTAAAAGCAATCGAGCTAATCAGAACCATTTCATGACAAATTCTCTAGAAGCAACTAAAGCAATTCTTCGACCGAATAGGCTGATAGGAATAATACGAGGGTATATTAATATTGTTGGGGTATTTGGTTATAAATAGAGGGAGAAGATAGGCTTTAGTTTGGTTCGTGAATAAGGGATTGGGAGAGATCTCAAGAGTGGAGGGTGCATGTGAGATTCCATATCGATTGGAGAGAGGAACGAGTGCTAGCGAGCAAACTGGGCCTCGAAGGAGGTGGATTGTGAGATCCCACATCAATTGGGAGGAGAACGAAGCATTCTTTGTAAGGGTGTGGAAACCTCTCCCTAGCAGACGCGTTTTAAAAACCTTGAGGGGAAGCCTGAAAGGGAAAGCCCAAAGAGAACAATATTTGCTAGCGGTGGGCTTGGGCTGTTACAAATGATATCAGAGCCAGACACCGGGCGGTGTACCAACAAGGACACTGAGCCCCAAAGGGAGGTGGACATCGAACAGTGTGCCAATGAGAATGTTGGGCCCCGAAGGGGGGTGGATTGTGAGATCTCACATTGATTGGAGAGAGGAACAAGTGTCAGCGATGATGTTGCACCCCGAATGGGGGTGGATTGTCAGATCCCACATTGGTTGAGGAGGAGAACGAATCATTCTTTTTAAGGGTGTGGAAACCTCTCCCAAGCAGATGCGTTTTAAAAACTTTGAGGGAAAACCCAAAAAGGAAAGCCCAAAGAGAACAATATTTGCTAGCGGTGGGCTTGGGCCGTTACATTGCAAATACTTCAAATTACTTGTTTATCTTGTATGTTCCTTACTTTTTATATTGCAATACATTTTGGGTCTGTTTGGTTCCTGCCATAGACATCAAGAGTCGGGACTCTTGAACGCCCCATGCCAGGGGAGAGGGAAAAAACCATAATTACTAATTCTGTCAATCTTCAGTTTCAAGTGAACCTAAGATACTCAGCTTTTCAGTGAATTTGAACACTACACAGAATCAAAATCCTTAATAGTTTAGATACTTACATTTTGGACCCAGCGAATACCCTGAGCAACAATGTCCTCTCTCCGAAGCCAGTGTATTTGCCTAACAATCCAGTCATCAATAGCATCTTCCATAATTAACTGTAATATTTGTTTTGATATCCAAAGGACCTGCCTCCTGCATCAAAGCAATTTAAAATATAAATATAACAAAAAAAAAATTGAAGCTGTCGGTTATAATCTAGGTTCTCAACCCTCGGATAAAATTTCATCCATGCAAAATGCTATGCAACTGCATAGAGTTAGAAATAGAGAAATAAAAATACAAACTCTAGATATACAATTTCTTTAAGCAGAGCATCTGGGGAGAACGGATCTACATATAAAGCAGCCACCAACAATTATGCAGAAAATATGGGGGGTGAGAAGCAACTTGGGCCCAGATAAGAAACAACCGATAGCCGAGCAGAAAATACAGAGGCCATGAATAATTAAGTCGCGTACTCATGGAAACAATATATCATAGTCAATGGCATTGAAAGAATATGTAGAAGTGAAAAGAATGGAACCTTAGCCAGCCTCTCCTGTTGAGCTGAAATATCTTGTCAACCAGATTTAGAATAGGTACACTGACATTAGGTGGAGTCCACTGCAGATGTATAAACGTTGAAACAACCAATAAGTTATAAATAACCAGAGCTAAATGCTTGAATCAAACATCAGTTGCATGTCAGAAGGATGAAATAACTCGTCATTTTTTTCTTCCCAATCAGAATAACTTTTAGGTTATTTTTACATTGTGCACACCAGTTGATAAATCACAATAACAGTACAGTTCTTTGAAAGGAATGTCTAAAAAATTCTTGCAGTCTACCAGATCCATCACGAGGAAATGAATTAGTATGACTTCGAGTGAAAAGATGGGTGCAAAGAGGTGGACACTTGAGAATTCAAGTTTATTTTCAGTTAAGTCTAGTAAACATTGTGTTCCACAATTTGAATGAGGTGGTGGCCAAATTTAGTTGGAGAGGAAATATTTTCAGAAGTCAAGAAGATCAATCACCTATTTCTTCTGTGTCGTTTGCCTACAGTAGTTCAATCAATTTTCTAAGGATTTGGGTTTGGCTCACTGTTCTCCTACAGGTATTGCTGATATCCTCCAGGAAAGCTCGTGGTTGGAAAGAATTCTCTCCCAAAATGCTCGTCAAGCACTCTGATGGAAAGTTTACAACTAGAATTTCTTATGCAATAAGAGTATGTTAACAGATCCATACGTACTACATTCCAGGAAACTGGTGAGTCTTTGTTAGTAAAAACCACCATTTAAACTCGAGTACAGACAATGGAGCACACTCATTCAACTTCCATCAACAGTTTAAAGCACCTAAAGCCAATCTCAAACTCCATTTCAACTCGCATATGGTCTGGATTTGAAAAAAAATATTTGATACAAATCACTGGATCATTAAAATAATATTCATCAAGCTTTTAAATCTCCAGTCATACAACAATTAAATCATCCATGACTAAAAGCATATAAATTATGTAAAATATATGTTTTGTTTTCATCCACCTGGTCCTTTGCCTGCCCCCAATGAGTAGCAATAACATTTTTGTCAAGTTCTTATTAGAGAAACAAAATGATATAAGCAAGTAGAAAGCACCATTAAAAACCAGAAAGGATAATTTTGTAAGAAGGTGTCCCTTTCATATTGGTTATGCCATAAACTACCAAGTAGATAAAATGCAAGTTTAAAGATAAGTAACAAAAAATGGTATGCAAGATATCTGACAGTTGAAATGCATGAAGTAGGAAACAGTATGTTGTATGAAGCAGCATTACCTCTGGTGGCATTCCTTCTGGATCTTCCATATGATATGAAATTTGTGAACATCCTCCCTGGCTTGCCCCAGACCTTAATTCTATGTCATTTTTCTTGTCAACAACTAATTTCTTTGACTCTTCACCGCGTTTGATTACACGAGGGGGAAAGCTCTTGGAGTTTAATTCATTGTCTGAATGCCATCCACTAACTTTTTCACGATTTTGACTTTCAGTTCTCTCACTTTCCTCGTCAGAAATGTTACTAGCTATTTCTAAGTTATATTGTGCAGAAACTTGTTTGCGTAAGTCTGCTGAATTAAATGAAAACTTCCGATCATAATTTGATGACAAACAAGCTTCTTCAGAAGGTGAGGTTGAACCAACAACTTTACGCATGAAACCATCTGAAACCCCTTTAAACTGGCGTACAATGTCATCCACAGCATCATCCACATTGACTGTGATTATGGATTGAAATCATCAATAATAGCAAATAATTGTGGCTCTTAACATTTAATTAAACCAAAACATACCACTGCATAGATACATAATGGCTGTCATTTTTCCATTTAAAGACTCAAAAAAAAAAAAAAAAGGAAAAAGAGGTATTTAGGCAAAATACTGATTTTCTTTTTTTAGAAAAAAGGGGCAGATCATCAGATAGATGGGAAGAGGAGAAGGCAGACTAGGTTGAAGGGCACAACTTTATGCTGCCATGGGAACACTTTGAATAATTTATGTTTAATATTTTTCTTCCGACTTTTATAGATTGGAGAGTCAATTTTCAAGGTCTCTTACATACACTCTAAATACTCGTGAAGGAATAGGAATTAGAACCTAAATTTTAGTCCCAACAAATGATGTGTCTCTGCAGGAATCATCAATTATTTTAAATTATTAGAATGCATATGCACGCAGATGAATCCATCTTCGTGAGAGACTGCATTTTTAATAAGAATAGGAACTTAGTTATTCATTGTAGTTCTACTTAATGACCAATAATCCCTCAAAAGAAGAATGGGAATTATTCATTGAAAAAGCAAAAAATTTATATTCTACTAAAAAGGGTCACGTATTCCACCAATCAGTAACAGAGGCTAAAAAATGCAAGTAATTAAGCCTAATAACTTGCGTAGGAAGAGCAAAAGTACGAAGATAATCAACAATAAAACTGTTGCAACCAATATGCAAAGGGCTTTCCCACAAAGAACAATACGAACAAACACTCACCTGCTAGTGTTCTCATAACTGAGGGAGATTTTCCAAAAGAATAGTTCTGGGAAAAAAAAGATCATTGATGTATCAGTGCCAATTAGGTTTGCAATATCATTTCCTTATGCAAATGTAATGAATATAATAAAAAAGTTGATCATCCTTGAAATCTGGACGTCCCTCTAAGATAATAAGTCCATAAAATTATAATATGTTTATGGAATATTTTAAAATATTAAAATAGACAATAACCAAATAGATAAGATTATGAAGTTAATGACAATATAATATGATATTGTAGTAGAAATCTGGTTGAACTCATCGACTTTCGTCTAATCTGGATTTTAAAATTAATAGCACACATGCTAGACCTCGTTAATAAAATGAAGTCCAGGACCATGTGGGGTTAGAAATAATATAATTAAAAGGCCCGATTACCTTTGAGGAAACACTTAAAAAGTCCCATACTTCATGCTGCTCAGCAACATTTGCAATTGATAATAGCTCCTGGGTAAAAGATAGCACAGTAAAGTATTCAGGATAAATAAATCATGAAAAGCTACATTGATGAACAACAATAATTGCATGCACGGAAGTTGGAAAATCCATAGATACCTGCAAATATTTGTCTAGTTGAATGCAACGTTGGTGAACAAAAGAATCTTCTGTGCTTGATGAAAATATTCGTTTGGGAGGCAGGTGCAGTGTATAGTTAGGAATATCTTTAAGATGCCGATGTAGTCGCTCAAAATTTCGGTATCTGGAAAGATAAAAGTAAAAATAAGAGCATGAATGTGACTATAGACCTGTTTAATTAAAATGCTTGAGGAATTTTCTCAAATCCTAAGGCACTAAAGATCATTCAATTTCAAAAGGAAATGCGAAAGCACAAAATATATGAGACGCTTGCAAGTCAAAGAATCTAAAAAAAACCACTAAAGGTTTTGGACATCTTTGAAAAGTTCAGTTACATTGGCTTTACTTATTAAGGAATATCAGGAAGAGACCTTCTCTTGACAAACCAAGTTCTGTTATTTGCATCTGTAACAGCTATTGAGTATACAGCAAAAGATTTTGAACCAAGCTTCTCAAAGTACGCACCCATTACCTGCAACAGCACTCGAACTAAATTGGTAAAACATTTATTAGTCGATAGATTATCCACAAAAACAAAAGAATGAACCCACTCACCCGACTCCTAAGTTTAGGAACAAGTAGTCCCTCGTTTTGGACCACCGTATCCGAGACACTCTTAGAAAGGGGCTCTTCACCGTGCTTGCCAAAATTGGGACCATAGAAATCTGATATAATAGATGTTCCACCTTCTGTAGAAGTGTTTTCTACACTAAATTCGGTTTTCAAAGCAGAAGTACTATTGGATCTCTTGAGTTGATTTTTAGTTCTACTAGCAGGAGTAAGATTATCAACATCCTTTAATTCATCAGCAATGAACTTCTTGTCGACAGATGAATCCTTCTGAAGATCCTGAGAAAACTGAAAACTGATTTTGTTCTCATCACCTGATTTGGAGGTCAAAAGGAGATCAGAATGTCTTGTGGGCGTTCTCCCAGCTATTGCCTTTTCTTCTGGCCCAATAGAGGAATGATGCTTGCCAGTCAACATTTCATCCCTCGTTGTTGCAGGCTGCATGCTACTTGAACCAGAATCCTTCGTAGTAGCCATAGGCTCAAAATCTCCTCCTTTAATGATCTTATTTTCTTTCTTTTTGTAGTGTCGTCCTTTAGTCCACATGTTTTCCAGATTTTCGGGCATAAGAACTTCCGTTCTCCTTTGGGTTGCTGCATCCAATGTACGGCCCCAATCACCAAGCCTGAGTTGCAAAGGCTCGTCCTGGAACATGTAATCTGAGGATCTTTCTTGCTGATTGTCAATTTTAGCAAGCTCTGAAGCATTCCCAGGCGTTAAAGATGAGCATTTACTTTTGTCCAAATAGTCATCGTGTATGAATCCAGCAGTAGAAGAATGGTCTCTGTCATTATCTGCAGAATAAGTTGGTTGTTGACCACCTATCACAGAGTCATTCTCAGCTTTAGTGGCAAGGACAATACATTCGATCAACTCATTTATGCACCTGATGGCAAAGAAAGAAGAAAAGGTAAAAATAAAAAAAGTTGAAGCCACTTCTAAATTCGTTGGACTACTAGATCATTTATGACTTGACATGAATGCCTAATGACCTCTCCCCAAGTTTTTCACAAAGAACACACACACACAAACATATTTGACAAGACAAACCATTTCAATAGAAATAGAAAGAAAACGGAAAAATGACTCCAAACAACAGAAAACAGTTGTTCTTCTTTTGTATTAAATTGAATTACATTTTTTTGTTAACATATGGAAAACGTAAATATAAACATGGAACTGAATTTTTTTTTTTTTTTATTTGTTCTTAATGAAAAATAATTAAAATACATACATATATATATATATATATATATATATTTGAAGAATTAGTACTAATAAACTATTTTCAAAAACCGCCCCAAAGACTCTCAACGTACAAGAACATCTTAGTGCAAACCATTCTCTCATAATGTTTTACTACTAATTATCTTCAAAAGAAAACATATACAGGTAAAAGAAGTATGCAAGGCCATATTTTGGTGACACTTCTTATTTTTTATTTAGAGTTTTCAGTGTTTTCGATATCTTGTAGATGCAGCTAGACCTATACACAGCGTCCCAACTAGAGAGGTGGTTTTTGAGCTATTTTTTTTAATACCAACCACCCATCTCCTAATTATTAAGAAAAAGGTAAAAACACAAGTCATAGATATTATTAGAATGAGTGACCAAACGAATACTTTCCCTTCCAAATGAAAGCAACGTTTTTCACCGTTATTTTTCATAAAGAAAACGAAAGTAAAGGGTCGAATTGTAGCATAAGCAACTAAAAAACATACCCAGGACTTGCAAAATTCATAAGAGGTTGCACCACCAAGCATGTTAAAAGTTCACGAGCAATGGATCGGACAACAGGGCTTTGAGTTTCTCTTGGTCTCAGTACTGAAGTCAACACTCCACTCATGAGCCGTTGAAGGACCTGCAGTAGAATAGCAATTAGCAAAGTGCAAGACTCCACACGAAGAACAAGACCTATCTTCACAGAACACTCCACTCACACCTTGTACTCACTCTCGGGAGACACCAATGCTGGATGAAGCTCCTTAGAAGCCATAAGATGGTGCTTCAACCTTTCGTCTCTCTCCTCAGAAGACAGCATTTCCATAACATCAACACCGATCGAAGCTTGGTTTCTTCTAAAAAGGTCCAAGTGATCACCTACTAAAACAACAACATCCCTGCAACAGTTTCAAACTCCTTAATTACACAACAAAACAACCTAATGGTAGAACAAAATTTCTAACCAGTTCCCACCATACAAAAAATAAGCTACCTCGTGAGCAAGTCAACAAGATTTATCTCTTTCACCCTAACCGCTATCTCACCAAGGGCATCCATGATTAACATGTGTATCTGCTCAGGAAACTCTTTATCTGGGGTTATTTCTGAATACCACAAGTCAACCACAAAATCCTTCAGTATTTTATCTATGAAATCCTTCATTGCAGCCTCCACAGTAGGAGAATTGATTTTCCTTTTCCATCTTGGTGGATGAAGAACTGAAGAAAGGGAGGAGTCGTTTACAGATAATTGTTTCTTCTCCAGATGCGATAAGTACGTCTGTCGCTGAACAGGTCGGACCTTTCTATGGAACTCTACCTCGTTGAACAGAATACGTAGTGCACAAACTAATAGAATTGCTAGGGGTACATTCATCCACATTGACTTACTAGTATCTGCATTAGGAAAGAAAAGCTGCATCAAAATTAAACTACAAAAAGCATGGCGGTTGATTGATGGGACAGAAAAGGAAAGCTCAATGATTCATAATTTTATTTGTTTCCCTATTCAGAAACTTCAATTCAATCAAAGAGGAGAGAGCCATCACTGCCCAATTTTGCTTCATTCACCTTCTCAAGTGACAATACTCTCAGCTACCAATCTATAAGAAACTATAAAAGAATCGACAACACCATCAAACTCGCTCCAAACTTAACAGTGCAGTGAATTTCCAAAAGGTAGCCGAATTATGCAGAGCTAGAGCAATAGAACGCGATAGAATAGAGAATTCTTACGGGTCAAAAAGTACGAAATCACGAAAGTACACAGAGCCCACCAAACCGTTCGAAGTTTAGCTTCCTCGATCAGATCCTGCACGGTCGCCATGACCTCCATTTCTACTGAAACGCAACAAAATCCTCTCTAAATCACCCGCAGGAAATAATAATCCAGTTCAACAAAGAACAGAGTGGGATAAGATTCACAAGCGGAATCTTGAATTCTGCAGGCGCGATTCGAATAGAACGATCAACTGCCGGAACTGCCGGAACTGCCGGAAAATCCCTTCCCGCCGGCACATCAGCTGGAGGGGAAATTGGCGCTTTATAGGGAGAACAAAATTCCCAGCTAGAACAAGAATTTCGAATCCGTTTCTTCGTCGAATTTTATTTAATTATTATTTTGTTTCCCTATTTTTTTCGCATAAATAAAATTTTGAATTATAAGGAAACGCATTGCCATTACTGACACGTGTCGGTTTTCGATTTCCCCAACACGTTTTCAACTCTCTTTTTCAAATACCTTTTATTAGGTTTTGAATGTGACATTATAGAATGTACCATTCTCAATTTTGCGTCCATATTTATTTAAATTTCTTATTTTTAATATTAAGTATAAAATAATAAATTTAGTCACCGCTACCAAATATTGTCCACCTTGGTCCGTTACGTAGACCCGTAAGCCTCACGATTCTAAAATACGTTTACTAGAGAGAAGTTTCCACACCCCTTATAAAGGTGCTTCGTTCCCCTCTCCAACCGATGTGGGATCTCATAATTCACCTCTCTTGGGGACTAGAGTTCTTATTGATACATCGCCCGATGTCTGGATCTAATACCATATGTAACAGCCCAAGCCTACAGCTAACAAATTTTGTTCGCTTTGGTCTGTTACGTATACCCGTCAGCCTCACGATTCTAAATTACATTTATTAGGGAGAGGTTTCCACACCCTTATAAGGATGCTTCGTTCCCCTCTCTAACCGATGTGAGATCTCATAATTCATCTCCCTTGGGGACTAGAGTCCTTACTGGCACATTGCCCGATGTTTGGCTCTGATACCACATGTAACAGCCCAAGCCCACAGCTAACAAATTTTGTTCGCTTTGGCCTGTTGCGTATAGTCGTCAGCCTCCCGGTTTTAAAACACAACTGTGTTTTTCCCCCCTCTCCAATCGATATGGAATCTCACAATTCACCTCTCTTGGAAACCCAGTGTCCTCACTCGCACATTGCTCGGTGTCTAGCTCTAATACCATATGTAACAGATAAAACCCACCGCTAGCAAATACTATTCGTTTTGGCCTGTTACGTATCATTATCAGCCTCTCATTGGCACATTGCTCGGTGTCTAACTTTGATACTATATGTAACAATTCAAGCTCACCGCTCGGAAATATTGTTCGTTTTGGCTCGTTACATATCATTATCAACCTCATGATTTTAAAACGCATCTACTAGGAAGAGGCTACACTCTTATAATAAATTCAACATTTTTTAATTTAATAATAGAAAATAGAATTTAGTTTATGAATCTATTAAAGTTGTAATTAAATTTTTTTTTTATTTATATTCATTTTAAGTTATTTATATACATACATACATACATACATACATACATACATACATACATACATATATATATATATATAATATATATTAAACCATTTTTTATATAATGGAATAAAAAATCGTCTAAATCATAATATTTCAATTTAATTTTAATAAAATTTTCGCTATTTTCATAATGCAACATATTTAAAATGAATTCAATTAAAATTGGTAAAATATATTCGAAAATTCGGAAATTATAATAATTATTTATTTTCTAAAACATAAAATATTTGGATAATCCATATTTACACGCTGGATTTTGTGGACAAGAACATGGCAGACCTGGCCACGTTGGCCGATGATTTGGTTTCGTGGATCATAATTCGCTCGAATAAACATAATTATAATATAATTGTAAATGACATCACTATCCTTCATAACAATTTATTCTAAACAGTCTAGTAGGGGTATAAATGGAAATATACAAATTAAATATCACGTGCAAATGATGTTTTTGGCGTTCAAATATAATATATAAAGAATTAAAATCATATTTTTAGAACACGTGTTTAATTTAATTAATTATCTCTTGTATAATTTAGTTTTGGTTGACATTTTTGTTAAATTTAGGTAATAAATAATAGAGTTAATGAAATTTAATTTTTGTTTAATTCACACTCTACGCATAGGCATCCTATTAATTATAATTTCCAACGGTATCTTGAAGAACACCTTATTTCTAATTTACTTAGTTTTAATCAATATAATTTAGCGTTTTTTGCGATCAATTAAAATTTTGATTTAAAAAATAAATCAATTTATTCAAAAATAAATATGTTGGAGGTAAGTTCACCTGACTAATTTAGGAAATAATCATGGGTTTATAATCAAGTGTAATACTATCTCCATTGGAGTGAGACCTTTTGGAGAAGCCCAGAGCAAAACCATAGACGATATCATACCATTGTAGAGAGTTGTGTTCATCTTCTGGCTCTCTTTTTCACATTATTGCTTCTGGCTCGTTCGTTTTAAGAGCGAATACTATTCACAAACTAACATCATGGGTTATATTATGTCAAGCTTTTCGTAGCTATCATATACTATAAATCACTATTATTTGAATGTGTATCGGTTCATTTATGAACCTCTCGTTTTCTCAGGTGTCACTTACGAATGAGAACCAAATCGATCGACTGCTTCTGTAAACCAACTCCAAACCTGTTATATTGCAGGTTCAAAATCTAACCTAACCAATTTGTTGGGACCCAAACTATTTGGATCTAGATTAATATAAAAAATAGTACGATTATTTTAATTTGATTCACGATTAAATCACTTTCTCAAAATAAATTATCTCATAAAAAATGGAAAAATTTTATTATTATTATTATTTTTGTGATAATAATAAGAATATTTTAAAGATTTTATTTATTTTTTATTTTTGTGAGAGGAGATGACTTGTTAAAAGAAGAGAAAATTATATTTAAATAGAGGTGAAAATTCGATTAAAAGAATATGCTATAATAATAATTAAAATAAATAAATAAATAACGGTTGGAATTTTCTTTTTATTAATTTTTTTCCAAATCATTTAAATAAATAAATATATATATATATATATATATATATATATATATATTTAATTTAAAAGGATTATTCTGATAATTGCTTGACTTCGGATACCAAATCTTCCAAAAAGCTTAGCCGAAGATTAATTTGCTCGACGGCGGAAGGGTTCTTGAGATATCTACTCGAATCCCCGTCGTTTGATTTAATTTTCCAAAGATAAACACTTCTTTCTTCCAGACGACTGAGATTTTGGAGAATTTGAGTGAAATCGTTAGGTAGGAGCTACAATGGAGGAAGAGAAGAAGCCACTGAGGGCGGCGACGGAGCCTCCTACCAGCCAAGTTCAAGAGATTGAAGAAGAAAGCGGCGTAAAAGAAGAAGCGCCTTCAAAAAGTAGCGGAGGAGGAGGAGGCGGCTGGGGAGGTTGGGGATTCTCTGCGTTTTCTGTTCTCTCAGATCTCCAGAAGGCCGCCGAAGAGATCTCCCGAAATGTATGTGTATTGTATCTGTTTTCATTACGAGTTCAACGTTTTTTGAGTTTCGCGGTTTGGAATTTCTCATGTTCTGTTATCATGTGGCGGTTTCGCTTCTAATTGAGAGGTTTAAGTACTTTATCTGATTATTAATCTATATTGTGTTCTGTATTGAGGAAATGCTGTTCGTTTTCTGGCATTTTGGCAGCGGTACTGAAATTAGCAATATAAACGATTATGTTTTGGTGTTCATAGTGCAGCAAGGAGCCTTTGATTACCAGCATGTTAATGAAATACCCAATGTTCGATAACTGCCTTTATTAGAATGCTGTCATGGGATCCTTGTTGGATGATGAAAGTCCCGGCTAATTTGGGGAATGATCATGGGTTTATAAGTGAGGAATACTAACTCTAATGATATGAGACCTTTTGGGGAAGCCCAAAGCAAAGCCATGAGAGCTTATGCTCAAAGTGGACAATATCATACCATTGTGGAGAGTCGTATTCGTTTAACTTGATATCAGAGCCATGCCCTAAACTTAGTTGTGCCAATAGATTGGTAAATCCTCAAATATCGAACAAAGAACTCCAAAAGAAAAGGAGTCAAGCTTCCTCGAAGGCAGGAAAAAATGACAAAGACTCCAAAGGAGTCGAGCTTCGATTAAGGGGAGGTGCACTTTGTTTGAGGAGAGGTGTTGGATGATGAAAGTCCCACATCGGCTAATTTAGGGAATGATCATGGGTTTATAAGTGGGGAATACTAACTCTATTGGTATGAGGCCTTTTGGGGATGCCCAAAGCAAAGCCATGAGAGCTTATGCTCAAAGTGGACAAATATCATACCATTGTGGAGAGTCGTGTTCGTCTGACAATCCTTTTTATTTTTGTTGTTATTTATGGTGGAGAACCAATTTTCTATAATAGCCTGTTGAATTTTCTGCGTCCTAAGCAGGGGAAACAATTATCTTATTTTGATGTTTTCTACTGAAGGAGCAAAATATTGGTCACTTACCCTTTTTTTCTGTTTCGTGTGTGTGTGAACAATTGCAGGCTGCTTCCGTTGCACAGACCGCAGCTAAAAGCCTCGTAGACTTGAAAAATGAAGATGAGGATGTGGAGCCTTCCAAGGAGAAAGAAGTAGAAGATTCTGCAGCTGAAAGTGAAAGTGAAGATGAGAATGATAAGCTGCGAAAATCTGCCTTGAATAAATTAGAGAAGGCCAGCGAGGATTCAGTTTTTGGCCAGGCAAGTTGTTTGAGAACAGGGTTACATAATACATAATCTTGTCGTTGATGGATGTCGATCTTGCATTTTCTGTGAATGCTACAATAACTGTATGTGATTTTTCTCTTGCACCCATATTCGTAAGAACAAAGTGGAATTGATGTTAACAACAGTGCGAAAGTCCTCGTAGTTCACTTGCGCACAAACAAAAAGACTCAATACCAAATTGGAGTCGATTCAAGGAAAAGTTAGAGACTAATGTGTTTGATGTCTTGTTTTCCATCCTCAAAGGGTTCCATGATCATATCACACAAGCTAGGTAGCCATGTCATAAATGGCTCAACCCAGCTCCATTTTTTCTAGGTTTTTCCTACATAGAATTTCTTGCTGTCTTCTAGCTTCTAATATCATGTCATGCTTTCTCAAGCCTTCTTTGAAATTTTGTTTTCATTTAATTTCAATATTCCTTTTCTATTTTCCTTACACGCCTACGTTTTATGCTGAGTGTAGATATAGAGAGTAACTGTGAATTAACTCAGTAGTTAATGATTATACTAGTGATTATAAACGAATGCATTGACGATTGTGCATTGTCAGTAAATGACTTTGTGGCACTTGATCCCGATGTGAATAGCTCTCGCAATCTATTCAGGTCTTGAAATTAAGAATTTGGGTTGCCAACTGTCAGTCATCTCTCGTTTCAATATTGCAGGGCTTAAAGGTTCTGGACACTTCTGTGGAGAATATAGCTTCGGGAGCATGGAAAGCCCTGGGAAGTGCATTGAGGGGAGGCAGTGATTTTGTTCACAAGTATGTCTATCTTGTTTAATAGTAGTTTGAAGTTTAAACACATTAGACAACTTAGAAAATGTTTTTCTTCGACGACCATATAATGCCGTATACAGCTTTCCCAGGCTTTGCCCTGAATGGAAAAGGCATATAACTTTGAATTTTTTAAAGTTGTAATGGATTAATTTCTTGGGTTTGATTTGTTTATGACAAAAAGTGAAAGTTCGAATCATGGATATGCCTCTACTGCACTAACACTCCATCATGTCATTGCTTTGTAATTCTTTTCCTTCTTCCCTTTTAATTTTAATGTCCAAGGAAGTAATATTCTATAGTTCCTTAGGCTTGAGAATTCAGCTGCAAATATTGCAGAAACCATTCAACATCAAGGAATACCAGCAGCAGCTGGTTCTGTTGCACCAGCATTGTTGGAGGTGTGTATTCCTTATCGTTTTTCTTATCGATTTTTTTAGTAGGAAATTATTATAATTTCCTTGATGGTAGGGTATCAATAAAAAACTTAGCAGGCAGAGAGGTGGTCCAGCTACAAGGGCTGTTAAGAACAAGTCTAATGGGATTAATCTAACTACTTAAAATTTTCCCGTCTCAAACAATGCTCATTCTTAATTTATCAATTGATACGTTGACTACTTGTAAAATAGTAGCATGAATTTAAAGTATAGTTCATCGGCAAACTGAACTTATAGCATCATGATTCATAGGTCCAGAGTTCTATTTATATTACTATTGAATAAACATTTTTCTCTACTTAGACATTTCTTGAATCATTAGGCTATAGAGAGTAACATGGTTAAGACATTATACTATCAACCTTAAGGTTAGATGTTCAAATCCCTAAAAAAACCATTAAACTCACATAGGAATAGGATAAGATTTTGGAAGCAAAAAATTGTTTATTTATCTTAAGAAAGAAAGAGAAAATAAAGCCTTTGATTTATTCTTTTCCCCTGTAGGCCAAAGTACAAGTAATATAAAAGTTAGCTTAGCTAAATAAGTGCATGTTATAACATAACCAAAGAGAAGCTTCAAAAATCATTTTCCTCCCTTTACACTCACTATCATAATTTTTGTTCATAAAAAATTTTCTATTTTCTCCAATTAAATCTCCCGAGAAATAGCTAAACCGAATTCTCTTAAATCTTGTGCTCTATGATTTTCCATATGATCTGAGATTTTATTTGTTACAGAAAGGGAAGGCTCTCACAACAAAGGGAATGGAAGTTCTTGAGCTTGTTGGAAGGGAAACCATGGATTTACTGATTACAGAGACTGGCATTGAAGTTGAGAAGACCTCTAACGAAGGCGAACCACAAGCCAAGGAGGATCAATTAGAAGACGATGAAGTGACATTTGATCGCTGCTTTTATATATATGGAGGTCCAGAACAGTTAGAGGTCACTTTCTAATCTAGGAAGTTGAATTGTTATATTAGGATGCTACTCTATCAAATCATTACAGTTTCTTTTTTGCAGGAGTTGGAGGCCCTGTCCAACCACTATACTTTATTATATAACCGAAGGAAAGGAAAATTATCTCAGGACCAGAAATCTATGTATGATGGAAAGCTTAAACAGGTCCAACAAGTTTTCAGTTTGAGTAATGAAATGGAAGGAAACAGTTTAACATTAGAAAAAGGTAAAAAGTTGGAAGTTGGAGAAGAGGGAAATGATGAGATGAAGAGTTTATATGATTCTAGTGTCAGCAAGGCTGCTGAAATGGCCGCAGGGTAAAATTTTCCTTGAAATGCTTATGCTGAATTCTTGTTTCACATTGATTGTACTGAATGAAGTTCATGTTGCACTCGTGTCGTGTGCAATGCCTTGATGCTTTTTCGTCACTTGCAGGTTTGGAAGTTCCATAACCGAACTCGCTGTTCCTGAAATAATGCAAAGGACTGTCGACAGATTAGAATCGCTCCATTCGGAAGGAGTCCATGTGAGGGATATACACTTCATTTTTATTTTCTTTTAAAGTATATGGGACTGTTAGTAAGCATTCCAGCTGACATTATATTTGCATTTGCAGAGACTCTCAGAAATGTGTTATTTTGCTGTGTCTCAATTGCTGATGCTTGGAAAATCCATTATAACAAATGCTAACAAAGTTGAGGATGACGATGACGTAAAAATCCAATGGCCCGAAGATTCTGTTGAAAAAGCTGAAATCATTAGATTAAAGGCTCTATACATGACAGGATATATAGATTCACTATCCAATAGCTTCATTACAGGTCGGCCTTCTTTTCATCATCCTTTTTAATTCTGATATTACTATCCCTTCTATTTTGCTAATATGACATAATCTTTCTCGACTAATTCTCATTATATTCTGCTCTTATTTTGCTTTTTCAACTTGCCTTTCATATTAATTCTAGTCTGGCTTGATTAGTATACACAATCTGAATCTCGATTGCTCTGTTCAGGCCTTTCGGACGTGTCGAAAGCGTATCAAGCTGCCATGAGCGCTGCTCCAGCCAATTCTCTCAAAGGTCCTCTGCAAACATCAGTACAAGACAAGGCCGATGCCTTCTCCGAGCATCTTCGTGCCGATCAAACCACAGCTTTCTGCAAAATCCAGGACGGGCTTCAATACTTGTCGTATCTTGTTCTCTCAACCTCAATGCCATCTGCTTGAAGAATCAGAGACCACCCCAAAACATAAACGTGAGCACTTCCTCCCCTAGTTTTGCTGTAAATAGTTGCAAGCCAGATTGAGTTTGATCCCTCCATGCTTACCTTGAGCTTTGTGCAGCGGTATCGGCATGGAAACTCATGAATTTGGAGCAAAGGTTTTTTCTATTTGATCCAAGTTTGCTGGTATGTTTTTAAGATCTTTAGTTTAGCAACTCTTTCAATATTATTGTGGAAGATTGTCATGGGAAATCAAAACAATCATTACAGGTCTGCCTTGTTTAAAATACATCAAAAAATGAAATTAATGCTTCTAACTTTAGGGTTACTAAATTCATTTTAGAATTGTGATAGAGTTACAGTGTCTACCAAGAAAAAAACGGATCTGTTTATGTCGGTTCTGACCTGAACTCAACATTGAACCAGCAACGTTTCGATGTTGAAAATAGTTTCAAATGTTTCATCGTACTTTGTTTCATTTCATCTCATTTCATCGCACTCTTTAAATGTCAAATTTTAGTCTTTCTACTTTCAATAAATCTTAAAAATAGTCTGGAGGTGTTAGTGTTAGTTTCCGGTTAAATCAACCGTTTATTAGTATTCCTTTTATAAATTTCGAAAATTTCTTGACTATTGTTATTATTATTTAGCCAATTTCAAAAAAAAAAATTGAAAATAACAAATCCGAAAAAGTACAATCAATCCTAAAAAAGGAATACCAAATTCGTGAGTTGAGTTGAGTTGGGTTGAACTAAAATAGCTTTTAGACTAAATTCAATAAGTTGAGTCGGGTTGAATTAAAATAGCTTTTAGATTATATCCAATTGGGTGGGCATTAACCAATTATTTAATTGGTTATTGAAATAACAGGTAACAATTATTAAAATAGGTGGAGATAGGAACGGAAAATATATTTAAAAAAAAAAAATCAAAACTAAGAATAAATAAAATAAAATAAAATAACCAAAACTGCACATTCTCCACTGTTCCACCACATTCATCTCTCCTGAAAATCCCCCAATAAGAACACTCCCAAAATCTCTTTCTCCAAATTCCATCCCCAATGGACGATTTCGATCAAGCCTTCATCCAAGCCCCCGAGCACCGCCCCAAGCTCTCCGACGCCGAAGCCGACGGCATCCCCACCGTCGACCTCTCTCCGATCTTCAACTCCCCCGACGGTACCTTCCCCGATGATTTGGTCCGACAAATCGCCTCTGCTTCTGCAGACTGGGGATTCTTTTTTGTGGTCAACCACGGCGTCCCCCCCGAGAAGCAGCGCCGGATCGAGGCCGCTGCCCGGGAGTTTTTCGGGCAGAGTTTGGAAGAGAAGAGGAAAGTGAGGAGAGATGAAGGGGTAGTGACCGGCTACTCTAATACGGAGCTCACCAAGAATGTCAGAGATTGGAAGGAGGTGTTTGATTTCGTTGTGGCGGATCCCACCGTCGTTCCGGCGTCGCCGGAGCCTGATGATGACCAGTTGGCTAAGTGGACCAATAGATGGCCGGAATACCTGCCGGAATTCAGGTAACCTCCCTAAAATCTTTAAGCTATCGTGATTTTGCTTTTAGTTTCCCAAGAAGCCTCCGTACCAATGAAGATGTATTTCTTACTTATAAATCAGCGATCATCCCATTAATTAGTTGATGTGAGACTCCCTCTCAACGATTCTGTTCTAGTTGATGTGAGACTCCCTCTCAACGATTCTCTCTTCGAACAAAGTACATCATAGAGCTTCCCCTGAGGTTTATAGAGCCCTCGAACAACCTTTTTCCCTAATCGATGCTCAACTCCTTTCTCTGGAATCCTCGAACAAAGTACCCAATTTGTTCGACACTTGAGTCACTTTTAACTACACTTTCGAGGCTCACAAAGAGCTAAGTACATCATAGAGCTTCCTTGAAGGCTCAATCGAGGTTTGACTCCTTTCTCTGGAGCCCTCAAACAAAGTACACAATTTATTCGACACTTCAATCACTTTTAACTACACTTCGAGACTCATAACTTCTTTGTTCACATTTGAGGATTCTATTGGCATGACCAAATCATGGATATGGCTCTGATACTATGTTAGAAACCACGACTTTTCACAATGGTATGATATTGTCCAATTTATACGTAAGCTCTCATGATTTTGCTTTTGGTTCTTATACTACTACAGATCTATTCCTTACTTATAAATTCATGATTGTCCCTTAAGTAGCCAACGTCTCGAACACGCCTGATTTATGAATTGTAAATTTAAATATTTTCTTTAAAAGATAAAAAAAAAAAATTAAAAATTATGAAATTAATGGATGTAATTGAATAGGAAGGCTTGCGAGGAATATGTTGAAGAACTGGAAAAGCTTGGCCACAAATTAATGGAATTGCTCGCCGTTAGCTTGGGATTACCGGCGGAGAGATTTCGAGATTATTTCAAAGAGACGACGAGTTTTGGGAGACTGAATCATTATCCGCCGTGCCCGTCGCCGGAGCTAGCTCTCGGCGTCGGCCGCCATAAGGACCCTGGCGTCTTGACGGTGCTTGCCCAAGACGACGACGTGGAAGGGCTGGAAGTGAAAAGGAAGAGAGATGGAGAGTGGATTCGGGTCAAACCCGTACCCGATTCGTACGTTGTCAATGTCGGAGAAATTACTCAGGTACATAGTTTTCTAATTGGTTGATATTAGTTTCTAATTACTTCCTAAATATACAAAATTAAAAGAGAATTTAAAACTCATGTCGGTTCGAGAGGGAAACGAAACATTCTTTGTAAGGGTGTGGAAACCTCTCTCTCATAGACGTGTTTTAAAACCGTGAGGTCGAGGGCTAAAACGGATAATATTTGTTAGTTGTGGGCTTGAGCTATTACAAATGGTATCGGGTCAGACATCAGGTGGTGTTCTAGCAAGGACGTCCAGGGTGGGTTAGAGAGGGAAACGAAACTTTCCTTACAAGGGTTGTGGACTTTTTTTTTTATAACCGTTAGATCCCGCAAGAGATGTGGGTTAGTGAGGGAAACTAGCACGTTCCTTCCTTATAAGGGGATGTGAGTTAGAGAGGGAAACTAAGCACGTTCCTTGTAAGGGCGTAGAAACCTTTCCCTAGTAGACGTGTTTTAAAACCACGAGACCGAGGGCTAAAGTAGACAATATCTACTAGCGGTGGGTTTGGGCCGTTACAAAATCAAACTCGAACTGGGCTTGGACTCTTTACAAAGTCAAACATGAATTCAAAGTTCAAGGTCAAACCGATCATTTTTGAAACCTCGTTGACTAGATTAGAAACTAAATTCATATATCAATAATAAAAAATGACAGTTCTAACCATCTGAGTACGGAATAAAAACTAGGTTCAAATTTAACCGACCAAAAATGTATTTATTCTAGAAGTTTTTTTTAATTGAACTGAAACTATCGACTTTTGAGATAATAACCAATGTCTCATTCATTAAATTATGTTCGAGTTTATTTATATTTCAACTTTTCGAAACGTCCTTTACCTTATAGGCTTGGAGCAATGAGAGGTACGAGAGCGTGGAGCATAGAGCTATGGTTAACCACAAAAGGGAAAGATATTCCATTGCCTTCTTCTTCAACCCATCTCACTCCACCATTGTCGAGCCTTTGAAAGAACTCATCGATCCCGAAAACCCTCCCAAATACAAATCTTACTCATGGGGAAAGTACCTTTCGAATAGAATGCTCAGTAACTTTAAGAAACTGAATGTCGACAACATTCAAGTTTCTCACTTTAAGATCTCCAACTAGCTTATATATTCGGTGATTCTTTGTTTTAGTCACTTTATTAGGATCCGTTTGGTTTAAGTTTTGATTGGATGTTCGTGGATAATATAAATAGTTCATGTTATTGGAAATACTCTATGTTTGATGTAATTATATAATTAATGTATCTAAGGAAAATAACCACGAGGCTACTTGAGGATCGCCCTCGACTTGCCCGCCTTATGAATCGATCTCCAAGATTCAGATACCATCGGATCCATTTCCCAATACTTCCAACCTCTGGTTGAGTTCATGACGGCTCTGCCTCAGCAGCAAAAGGTGATCCTCGATGGATTGGCCGTCACGAAAGACTATTAGTTACTATAAGACTATTAGTTTGCGGGTTTCAAAATAAATAGTTATAATCTCGAGTCGATATCGATTCGATTTTCAAAATTTCAAAAGTAACAATTTTGGGTTGGTTATCAGACATTGGATCGCCCCCAAAAGACATATTTGGAATAAAGTAGAAGGACTAATTTTCCAAAAAACAATGATTAAAATAGTTGAATTTAAAATGTCGGGGATCAAATAGATACCAACTTCGAACAAATTGTGTTTTGATTAACAAAAGCGTGTTAAAATTTTTAATTATTCGGATACAATCTTAAATAAAATATATTAGAAGTTCACAGACAAGAACTCAATCTATAGTTATTTAAAAAAAAAAAAATCAGGAGCGAAAATTCTAACATATTAACATAGTTCAACATTATCATAAAACTAAAAGACAATTAAATATCGATATTTTTTTAAAATTTGTTAAAGTAATCCAAATATATAAGATAGATCATGAAATTAAATAAATAATAAAAATGATTAGTTTAAAAATATCGTATATAACAACATTAAAAAATATATATATAAAAATATATTTTAATGGAAAGATGAACTTATCTCGAACTCTTAAACTATTAAAAAAAAATAAAAATATATATAAATTGGGATATAATAATGTTGCAATAAATTAGATAATAAATACATTAGACTGGCCAAAGTACCATGCACATTCATAATTTAGGATTTTTAATATGGTTTATATATTTTTATTTGGCTTGGGTCGCTCGGGTCAACTCGAGGATTTTGTCCCATGAACCCGAAACCAAACTGATTCAATTCGGGTTCAAAAAAATGAACCCAACCCTATCCAAAATGTTAATCCAACTCAACCCAACCCTTATAGTTCGGGTTAAGTTGATCCAAGTTGTCGGGTTGAATGTATACCCCTAGTTGTCGATACGTTAAATTACATTTTTAAAATAATGGATTTGAGAATCATCAATTAGATTTTCTTTTTTTTTGTTGGGCTTAAAATTACTTTTCTTTTTTGTTTTTTTTCCTTTTTTAGACAGCCACTTATGGGATAACATTATTTTATTATTATTATTTGTCTTTTTTTCATTTTAATTTCTCAACTTTTGTAAATTTTAAATTGTAAAGGCAAGCTTTAATCCGACCGAAATGACATTTATTTTTAAAATAAAATAATAATAATAATAAATAAATAAATAAATAAAAAGTAAAATTAACAGTACAACATTTGTTTTGCATTGAATGCACAAGATCCAATCTTGATAGGAATCTTATCTGCTTCAATACTTTTAAATTTATTATTCATTTAAATTTCAACATAAAGTTATATTTTATAATATGAAAGATCGTGACACTCGAGTAAAAGAGAGGTACGTGAATGAACCGAACTACCTCTCAATAGAAACGATTATAACGATGAGATAACTAAGAAGTGCGCATTCCTTTTCGGTAGCTCAATTATAAGAACTTTATAATTAAAATGTGCTTTGCTTAGTCTGTGAGGACAGTCTTTACTCTTCAAACCACCGCATCGCAGGGGATGTGGTGTTGAACTTTCAATAATACTATTAAATTATAAAAAAAAAACATTTACCGTTAATATTTATTTGAAAAATACTTTTGATCTTCTAAAAGGGTTTAAAAATTACTGTTAATTTCATTAATATTTTAAAATTTTCAGTAAATACTATTTTAAAAACTTGAATTTATTTCAAATTTTCAAAAAATAAAAAAGACAGTTTTGGTCGGTAGATTGACGGTAAATTTATTTATTTTCTTACTTTTTCACCTTTTGATCTATGTTATTATTAACGTTTTCATTTATATATTGACGACGTTGTTAAAAACGTAAAAAATATTAATACCCTTGAATTTAAAAAAAAAATAGAGATAATTAACGTCACTCTATTGGTGATAACTATTTTTTTTCAATTTTTTTTAAAGGTAAGGATGTTAATGTTATTTTTAAAATTTTAAGAATTTTTTTAAATTTTTTTATAAAATTAGAAAGATATTAAGGGTATTTTTAAAATAAATTATTAATTATTTTTATCAATTTTAAAATTTTAATGGTATTTTTTTATTGATTTAGGGTTTATTAATTTAAAGGACACTTCATGATCTATCTATAAAATTGTAACCATAGAGAGAATTCCTCCGGCAACCAAACTGCACCGATTCCGCCATGAAGGAGTTTGATCAGGCCTTCATCCAAGCCCCGGAGCACCGCCCCAATCTCTCCGCCGTTGAATCCGACGGCATCCCCACCATCGACCTCTCTCCGATCTTCAACTCCCCCGACGGTACCTTCCCCGACGATTTGGTCCGACAAATCGCCTCCGCTTCCATAGACTGGGGATTCTTTCTTGTGGTCAACCACGGCGTCCCCGCCGGGAAGCGGCGGCGGATGGAGGCCGCTTCTCGGGAGTTTTTCGGGCGGAGTTTGGAAGAGAAGAGAACAGTGATGAAAGTGGAAGGGGTGATTACTGGCTATTCCGATATGGAACTCACCAAGAATGTTAGAGATTGGAAGGAGGTCTTCGATTTCATTGTGGCTGATCCCACCGTCGTCCCCATGTCGCCCGAGCCTAATGATCACCGGTTGACTCATTGGACCAATCGATGGCCGACATTCCTGCCGGAATTCAGGTAACCGGGGTAAAACCCTAATGGTCACCGAGTCAATTATTAATGAAACTTTTGAAAATTCAAAAGTATTAAATTTATAATTTAACTGTCGTGGTGGTCTGACATGATTGAGTAGAGAGGCTGGTAATGAATATGCCGAAGAATTAGAGAAACTTGGCCACAAGTTAGTAGAACTGATCGCGGTTAGCTTGGGATTACCGGCACAAAGGTTTCGAGATTATTTCAAGGAGAAAACAAGTATGGTGAGACTGAATCATTATCCTCCATGCTCGTTGCCAGAAATGGCTCTCGGTGTGGGTCGTCACAATGACCCCGGCGTCTTAACGATGCTTGCCCAAGACGATGTCGGAGGGCTAGAAGTGAAAAGGAAAAGAGATGGAGAGTGGATTCGGGTCAAACCCATACTCGATTCTTACGTCGTCAATGTTGGCAATGTTACTCAGGTATATAGTAGAGCTCGTTGTTGATCAACTTAAATGATCAACTTAAATAATTGAACTATCCTTTGGTTTTTGAAACGTTCTTCAACGTATAGGTTTGGAGCAATGAGAGGTACGAGAGCGTGGAGCATAGGGTTATGGTAAACGACAAAAAGGAAAGATATTCCATTGCGTTCTTCTTCAACCCATCTCATTCCACCATTGTTGAACCTTTGGAAGAACTCATCGATCCCGAAAACCCTCCGAAATACAAATCGTACTTATGGGGGAAGCTTCTTTTTAATAAATGTGCAAGGCTTTCAAGAGACTTAAAGCTGCAATATTCAAGTCTCTAAAGTTAAGATCTCCCGCTAGCTTGTATGTTAAATGAGTCGTCGTTTATGCTACTCTATCACGAGCCGTTTGGTTTAGGGGTTCGATTGGCTGCTTGTGGATAACGTGTATGTTTGGTTGAATAACATTATTGGGAAGATCATATGCTGTGTGTGTTTATATAATTAATGTACGTTTGAAAAACTATAGGTTTCGAGAAGGTGTCGTGTGATTTTTAAGTATTGTTGTAGTGTGTATTTGTATATTATAAAATAATATTATTAATCCCGAAAACCCTCCCAAATACAAATCTTACTTATGGGGGAAGTACCCTTCGAATAGAATGCTCAGTAACTTTAAGCAACTGAATGCCGACAACATTCAAATTTCTCACTTTAAGATCTCCAACTAGCTCGTACATTCGATGATTCTTAGGACCCATTGTTGAAATATCATCACTAGCTCAATAGAGTCAAGCCCAATTATTGTACGAGCCCAATATATTTATTTTAGTCCAATAGAGTCAAGCCCAATTATTGTACGAGCCCAATATATTTATTTTAGTAGAGATTTTAGGAGAAAGAGATTCAGATGTTTTACGAGAAAGATCCAGATTTGTTAGGTAGGAGAAAGAGATGAGAAAGAGATTTAGACGTTGATTGAGATTTGTTAGGTCTAGATTCAAATCTGGTAGGTTTAGATTTAGATGGGTTAAATATAGATTGTTTAGCCTCAGTATAAATACCCTCCACCCTACCAGATTTGTTAGGTAGGAGAAAGAGATTTAGATGTTGATTGAGATTTGTTAGGTCTAGATTCAAATCTGGTAGGTTTAGATTTAGATGGGTTAAATATAGATTGTTTAGCCTCAGTATAAATACCCTCCACCCTACCTAGGTTATTCATCCAAGAAATCCAAAAACCTGGTAGGTTTAGATTTAGATGGGTTAAATATAGATTGTTTAGCCTCAGTATAAATACCCCTCCACCCTACCTAGGTTATTCATCCAAGAAATCCAAAAACAATAAAAAACAGTAGTATTCTACAGAGTGTCTTGTATTCTCTTCTCGATTGGTGTTAATAAAGAGTGCGAGTGTCTCTTTTCGATTGGTGTTAATAAAGAGTGCGAGTGTTTCCCACAGTGAGTTGTGTTCAACATTTGGTATCAAAGCGAGGTGAGTGTAGGTTATCTGATCTCTTGGAATTCTTAGTATGCTTTGTGGTTGCAGCTCTGTCTGAGATTCCACATCAGAAACGATTTCTTGAGATTAGTGGTGAGTGAGTTTCTTCTGTGTCGTGAGAAGTCTGTGACTCTGCAAGTCTTGTGTCAAAAGAACTTGTTTGGTATTACTGAGGTATGGCCAACACGATGGGTGATTC